ACCTTTCAATCCCTCGAAACATTCACATCACAAGATTTGCCAACACCACAGACAAGGCGTAACTGATACTGGTAGCAAGAGCGAGTGCAGCTTAATAAGGCGTGTTAGCTTGCGTAATACCACTTTCTTTGTCAGGCTCTTTGGTGATAAGAATATTGAGGTCATGTGAACGTTGTTATTAAACGTACTAAAATGTGTGAAAGTGAAATTACATGAGCCAAGTAATTCACATGATGGAAACATATGATCATGTTGCTTGAATACAGGAAACATGATTGTGTATGAACCGTTCATATACATACCCCTGAAATCCGGTATGATACATAAATATCTAAGGTGTGTAAACATTTGCAAATTTGAAAATGTACTTGTGTTTCCCCACCTAAGTTAATTCACATCTTTCCAACCCGAGTAAACTTAGAACGAAATCGGAAATTTCAGCACCCACTGAAATCCAAAGGAATGCATTGGAAATACTGTATGATCATGTATTTACCGGGGTATCTGTTGTGCAATTCATATTTGGAAATCCCCGACAATCCGGTCAGGGCATACATGAACGAGGTGCTTGTGCATACGAAAATGTACGATGAGCATATGTTTCAAAGGTATAGATTCATATGAAATATATGCCCGAAGTTAGGAAATATCTGAAAACATACGTAAACCCGGTCATGGCATATGTATTTCCTACTGTATTTACGTATATTTCAATGGTTTACTATCCGGTTTTTGGTGCTGTGAATATATGTTAAATTTGCATTCGGACGTAATTATTATCAGTTGTAATTACAAATGTATGTTTCTAAATACTTTTGAAAGTTAAATTAAAGTTTACAGTAACAATCTTTTACGGTGTTCATTCACTTCCTTAATTGTCCTGACATGTAAGAGCCGCAAATGTATGATTTATGTGGTAATCTTAATCAAGTCCAAACAGATGATAATAACATAAAGAGCTAATACATTTTTTTTTCATCAACCAAAGCCTTTTATGGTCTCTTATTGATAAATGTATTTTTCAAATTTCCAGACAAATAAACTATCAATGTCCTTATTTATCTCACTTTACACCAATCTTCATTCCACAATGGGATAATGTTATTAGATATCTTTGTTTCTTGGTGAGTGTGTACTAGATTCACATCACAGATGCATAGCGTTTTAACAGTCATTGTATACATGTATACACATAATGTATCACTTTTCACAATATCAGGAAACCCATATTACAGTGAAAAACAATTCTCGTACACAACGGGTTCACATTGTCAAACTGCAAAATAAAGATGTGTCAAAGTCTTTTGTTTACGAATGAAATAAAGTAATCAATACCATATAAAATCAGCAACATTACTTATACAGGTCGCCAAACGTACATCTAAGTTACTATTGTCATCTTTTCATGAAGTCATGTAATGTCCATCAAATGGCATGTCGGTGTTGGGTCTCCTCGATTTGTTTAAAGCGAAAATACATGGAAGTGAATAAAGTTTGTCAGGCTAACACAATACGTAATCAAGGTTCCATTGTTTAAGCATATGTGGCCAAGTTAACACGATTTTGCCACGAACTTTTTCACTACAATAGGAAGGTATCCACTGTCATAACGTGATTGGCTGCCTTGGGTCGCGTGCTTCATTTTGACCAATTACGACCCTTAAGCCTGTAGCAGATTGTGGAAAAACTCTAGCGTCATTTATCCAATAAAAGCGCTTGTTACAAATGCAAAAATACTACTCGTAAGGTCAAGGTAACATTATTTTTTTCGATCAATACCCCGTTATTCATACAAAGCTTCCTAAACACAGGTATTTCCCATTGTCGTCTCATGGTGCTGAGTGGAAAGTTACTGTTACTGGATAATAGGCGACCATAGTTATTATTAATGCATTTAGATAGTAGGAATCAGACTTCTGGGTCACGTGTAGCGTCCTGTTTAGTGCAGATTTAATAGTACTTCCTGGTTGGCTATAAATAGTACTTGCATATACACTTGTATAGTATTCCCAGAAATTATTGAGAAAGTTGTTTCGACAAATATCTAATACATGTATATGACCGACAGAAGTTTTATGTAAATGAATATGTTGAGATAGGATTCTCTTACAGTCTAAGTGTCAATCTAAAACTTGAACATTTTCGTCCGACATCCACTGTTTTGTGTAGCCCGCAGTATGTCTTGGGTCTGTATCATGCTGGAAAGTCCAATTATCTTCATACAATGTTCGGGCTGTTGGAAGGAGGTGATCATTTAAGACATCAACATATCGTTCCTTCGTCAAATTTCCAGTGAAAATACACAACAGCGTCACTCCACGTGATGATATCCCACCCCACAGGTGAACTTTCGGGCTATGTTTTGGGTGTTGGTAGATAGGTTTCATGGTATTTTCACACAGTTCGGTAAAAGTCAGACAGATCTTTCACCAGAAAAGAAACATTATCCCAATCTTGATTTTCGCGAGCCCTACACCAGTTTAATCGTCTTTCTTTTTGTGCATCATTAATCAGTGGTGAGGGAATTCCGCGCTTTTTCACCCAGTTAAGTCTTTGTAATTCTCGACTAAGGGTTTCGTTACATACCTGAGGACTTCCTCTATTAATCATCTCATTTTGATATTTTTAACGCTTAACTATCTTGCATTTGTCACACCCCTTTCAAAATCAATAACCAGGTTTCTTTTCCCTCCTGCTGTCAAATCTGCCATGTCAACAAAGGAAGCTGTATGCTAAACCAGGGGAGATAACTATTGATGTAGTAAAGTTCATTCTTAAGCAGACAAGAGTTGGCTATCATGTTAGTTCCTTATTTCATAATGTAACACCTATTTTAAAAGTCTATTATCAGTATAGGAAACGAAACTTTCCTCAATAATTTCTGGGAAAACTAATAATCAACAGTAGGATTAGATGTTTCAAATGGTGCATGGCATGTCAAGGCAATAATGTTTTACAAGCTGAACATTTCCTTGATAAATGTAGGCTTCATCTATCATCTCAGAGTATCTGGCAACACTGTATTTGTAGTTGTTTTGTTGAGAAATACATGGTGACGTTCCTTTAGCTCCCCCCATAAAGACGAGTCACCTCTCCTCCCACCCACGAGTTCACTGGAGCGTGATATTTCATCATTCATGCCTGGATTAATAATCCCTGACTTCCACTTGTCCATCCAACTTATTTAGTGCTAATTAACTAATGGCTTCATTGTTATCTTATCATGTTTTTTTCACATGTGCTTATATGCAGCTGTTGTCTGTTTCCTGTCATCTGTCATCATCATTGCTTTTCCACCACCTGATAAAAGAGTATACTCCGAAACATGTTCCTCCAAAAAAGATATTCATACATTCTCGCCTGTATGTGAATCACTTTAAATGTCATTTAAAGTAATTATGTATTATATACTGTCCAAACCACCAAAATATATACCATTTTCAAAGGTTTTTACATTTAATACATAATTTTTACATTCAATCTTTGAATTGAGAGAGAGATTTGCATATGAGGCCATAACTGAATACCGAGCGTCTTACATCCTGACCTAAACATTGTGAAAATACATTTATTATCGTTACTAACGTTAGACAGAAGATATTTCTCACAATTCAACAGAGATTTATGAGAATAATAAAAACACAGTGATTTGCTATAAATAAGAGATGGATGCCACTCTTATTGGAAACAATCATGAATTCTTTCAATGAATTTACATAAAAATATCTTTGGATCACCAACAGATTGTGTGTTCCATAAAATTCCAAACCATTATCTAAACAATAAATGTTTTACATAACTTGCCCATGATGAGCGCTTTCTAAATTCAGTTGACAATAAAAATCGATAACTTTGATTTGGGTATCTATCTGGATGTATGTGTAATAATCTTATCCAGTATTTGTTACAATTTACAAAATAGACATTTGACAGATGGGGGCGCCCGCTTTCCCCATAAGCAACAGCCTTAGGAGGTCTGTAACCAATTTGTAACACGAATTTGCAAAACAAACGATGGATAATTTCAATATTCTTTCTTTTTTGAAAACCCCAGATCTCAGCGCCATATGTAATAATTGGAACAATCTAATTAGACTGGCAATTAATTAGTGTATCACCAATAATTACATCAGCTATTGAACCGCCTCCGTGGTGTAGTGGTTAGAGCGTCCGCCCGGAGAGTGGAAGGTCGCGGGTTCGATCCCCGACCGCAGCATACCAAAAGACGTTAAAATATGGTAAATGTTGGTCCATGCCTGGCGCTCGGCATTAATGGGTATATCAAGGACTGGTCGGCTCAGAGTCAGTATAATGTGTCTGAGTGGGGGTATTCATGCTTCACTGCGGCATGGTATCCCACTGGGCTAGCACTATAAAACCAGCTTCAGTACTGGGCTAGTACAAGCTGCCGCACATACACATACACACGCATGCACGTCGTCATATGAGCGAAATATTCTCAATCATGACGATAAACCCAATTTCACCTCACATCAGATATTGACATTGTTCAGCCACAAGCATATCCCGTTTTTTTGTCTCCACCTGTACACTGAGGAAATAGGGCAGATGACACCCAGTTTATAGCGACTGAATTTGAGTTGGTCTGGAATGACTCAGTAGACGGTGAATATTAGAGATATGCTATTGTATTCTTTTACCTAACTAGAAAAAATGGTTTTGACCTGAAACCGAAACCTGTTAATGTTATACATTCATCACCTATCGTCCCTTTCCGTAACCCAACAGAACATCGAACGCTCTCACACTCGTGTTATTCCGGGGCAAGCACAATACCATTACGGAAAGGGTCGAGTGGTGACGAATGCTCCAGGAAAGTCTCTATCGATAAATATTTTGCATCAAAATGCGACAAACAAGTCAGAATACGCGTAATGATTGAGATGGCTGGGCCATGAAAGGTCCGTTTGTTTCCAATTGAATGTTTTCTCTGACGATAAACATACTTAATGAAAGTTAAAAACACAAAACTAACTCACAAAACGAAGTCTGTTGTGATTAATTCCTCTCCTCGTCTTGTGAACAACCGATCATGAAATCCTACTTTCGGTATTGTGAAACAGGGGAGACAACTCGACAATATGGCAGACTGACTGACGCAATCAGACCAAAGTGTCCAAAGCTTACGTAAAATATTGAAACTATTCCTTAGAGAAATAAAATGTTCTAAATGTTTCTTCCATCAGTCCCTGCATGGTTCTGTAATGCAGAGCAATATTTATGTCCCACGGGGACACTCTTATACTCGACTCTTTACCTCACTTCTTAATTCTACCTTGTCTCGACTCTTTACCTCACTTCTTAATTCTACCTGGGCGCATGCGTGCTGGAAAACAATCGATTTAGGAATGGCAATGGGAGGTAAGAACGTTAATGACACTGGAAATTAATTCATTTGAGAAATTATAAGTAACAAATCATGTACATGTAATGATACTTAGTTTCAACAGCAAATACGTTGGAGTTGCGTCATCAGTGACAGAAAAACAACTATTTGTTTGATCGGCATTCTAGAAGTTGGCGTGTCAATAATGAAGCATATATCATGGATATCAACTTCTTGTTAATTGTGGCGATACACAGCCCGTATTGTTAGTGTATTATTGTATATTGTAGAGATAGATGCTAGTTTTAGTTCTTGGTACTGTGAGATTCTAGTTGGGTTTAGTGTCCTCTATTCGACAGATATTTCAAAATGATTATCTTGTTTTCATCGCTATATGTCTGTAACCCTGCCGATGCCAGTCGAATTGTTGTTAATTGCATAGAGAGACGTCTCGTTGTAGAGTCTGTCATTATTATCCTGCTTGAAACGTCGATATCGCTTATGCAGTAAACAATAAGTTGCTATTGATAAAGTTGTGTGCTTCATTATTGCAGAAAACCATGAGCGTGGGTCACATCTTTGTGCGACATTTTACAAGTTGGGTAGAATAATGCTGAACATGTTATGGATAGCAACTTATTTTGTTTTGTGAATGCGACGTTTTAAGTTTGTTTTTATTTCATGTACACATTTACAAATTTAGATTTACGACTTTCATAGGCACGATATGGCTGCCGATGTGACGATGTAACTCACTACCATTCTGCATAACTTGTGAATGTACCATATATTACATTGTACACGAAAAATAACAAACACAGTAACACAGTCACTGATATGATTCATCTGTTTCATTATTTTGAATAGCCCACATTTCAACAGAACCCAACAATGTATGTATGTATGTATGTATGTATGTATGTATGTATGTATGTATGTATGTATGTAGAGGGAATCAAGAGGGAATCTTCAGCATTGGAGAACACAACTTCTGTATGAATATGCAAATACAAATATGTCAAAACCCTACAACATTTTATGCATATGATGAAATGATGTCTACTAGTGCAGGCGTAACATACTTGCTGTGGTATTTATTAAACAGATTTCAAATTCAAATTCAAATGTTTATTGTATGAAAGGTCATTGGCCCATATACATATACATGAAGTGTACATTTGAAGCTGCCTCAATGTATCTTAACATCTACACACTAACAATTTCACATAGTAAAGACTTGGCAACTTGCTGACAATCATGAAGCTTCTATTGCACTCATACTGAGCAGACAGCCATCCTCTGATCTGGTACATATGAAACAGAGCCTGAGATGAGACATTTGTTTTGCAACACAGAACAAGGGGAAATATAACCAAGTTGATTACAACAAGGCTTGAACCAGTCCACAACCGCAAACAGATGGTGTATGCTCTACTTAAGATCTGTGGGTGAATATGAAGAGTCCTGGTTGATGTTTAGCACAACATCGTTGCCATGCTCATCGTCCCACACAGACTCTGCATGATCCTGCAAATACAATACATACAATGCTTAGTAAAACTACAAAAACAGCCAAAGTAACACATGTATACATATTCAAAAACATGCACAGTGGTACATCTGATCACAATGAAATTATAAAATTAGAACGACTAATTTGTAGATGTAACCAAAAGGTTTTTTTCAGAATCACAAAGGAAACATCTGTAGTATACATGTGTATTGTATCTTCCATTGGACATGTCACTTATTTGATTGATTGGTACCAGAAAATAGTAGCCAACCCAGTATTCTGAAGCAAATTGTGGTAATATTTATTACTGTTACTGTACTCATATTCAAGGTAACATCTACTACCAAATCGCCAATTGAAATCTAAGCATAGGTAAAACGGTACATACATATTCTAAATAGATACCAATCATGTTTAAACACTGAATGTAACACCTGATTATATATGTGATCTTATTCATTTCAAATTGAAATGTCCAACTCAACTGAGAAAAGCATACAAAACCTAACATTTCCCATGAATGAAAAAATCGTGAGTATTTCTTAGTTTTATCAACCCTCTAAGGAAACATTCACAGCAATATAATAGCATAAAATATTACTTTTTAATGTGACCTTTACTTTAATTTAAAAACTGTAAAATGTGTAACAGAACTTATTCACTTTCAGTTACAGTTACATATCTGATATACAATAATTAAATATATATTATTGATATATGATGGATAACAAAGGGACAGATCAAACTGGCAGTGTGGACAGAAAACTGGTCTTTTTCTTGGAACTGAAAAACATATAAACTTATAAGTACACTGGAATCCACGCACTGTTACATTTTGAGTGATTATATTTTTCACAAAGATAAAGAAATTTATTCTATGTATTTATTTAGTGTTTACTTGGTTTTGACTAAGTGCGGACGAATAAAATATATTGTTTTAAGATTTCCTTTAGTGAAATTAGGAGCATGGTATGGTGTAACTATAAATGATTACTAAGCCAAACCTCTTGTCAATCTCCAACAAGTCAGTGGATGCACAATACGTATCTGTAAATTGAAACAATGATTCTTTTAGAAATGTTATAGGTGACTTGTGTCAATGCATTGTAAGGCTAAGATGTTTAATAATTGATTACACAAATTATTACACAAAGCTATGAGTGTAAAGTATATGTAATAATTGTTTTAATGGTTATAAAATGATAAAATAGATGAACTGGTATAATTGGATAGATACCGCCATATAGCTGGAATATTGCTGAGTGCGGCGAAATACTAAACTCACTCACTCAGATATATTGAGGTGACATTACATATAAACTAGTAATATATACTGCAAAATTAGATAAGTAAACTCATAATACATGGGAATAGTATACGTAGATCTAGGTTTAGAACTGAAAAGAATGAACATGATATAAGCATGTCTAATACACTTGCATGTTATGAGCTCAATAGGTAAATTACTTACATGATGAAGTTTTACGTCCAGCAAAAATATGTTCGTATATTGCCTACTCCTGACAGGGTTTTGAAAAACCACCTATTTGCCACTAACACAATCTCTCATGAGTAGGACTCATGAAGCTCGATCAGGACTTTTAAAGTAACGTTGACGAAATTAAATGTTCTGGCGTAAGCCAATTTCGCCGACAGGGTAGGTGGGAGCTAATATAATAAATAATAAATGTTAATAAGGGATAAACCACCTTACCCAAAAAAATATAAATGCTGGGGCGTTAAACCAAAGTTGAATTTGGAATAAAAAACGTTTATAGACAAAATAGAGATAAAAATAATAAAAAGCCAAGTTAAAAAAAGGAGAAAGGAGGGATAAATAGGAATGGTGATGATAATAAGTAAGAGATAGAGTTGAAATAAACGATAGGTGACATAAAAGGGGCCTAGGGGTGGGAATGGGGTGGGGACGGGGTCGAATACTGAACATGTATAGCATAGGGCAGATATTTAAATGCAGTTGCTGCATAAGTTATATAAGGGGCTATATACAGAATGAATAAAAAAGGTGTTAAGTTGGACGGGGAGAGGCGGGGTGGGGCTGAGGGGAGCAAGGGAGGCGCAATGAAGCACAGGCCGGTTTGAGAGACAAGCAGTGGTAGTGAGCTGTCTGGCGAGTGACAGATACATAGCGTTCACTGACATGAACGCTATGCAGCACCTCCATAGGCCGCAATGGTGGAAATCCTTTGTCGCACTTTCGCGCACTCGTTACGATTTTTGCGCACGAAAAACTTATATGAATTACTTCTTTGTACTTATACCTACACGTGCGCCCTATTTTCGTTATCAAAATATCCAAAAATATATATTTACAAGCCATCAAACATCTCAGTCGATCGCTCACATATGAGCGGGGCCATTTTGAATCACGTGACCTGTGACGCGAAGGGGATATCCCTCCCAAAAATAGTAACACACGTGTTCCATACCTCGTTGCTTGTTGACAACACATTTTCATACATTTTAGGCAATTAAAACGATTGTATGGAGATTTTCGTTTCCAATCTAGACTGACTGACCACCCCTGCTTTTTCAACAGCTGTTTTCAAAGGATTTGCTGGTGAGTTTTCAATGCTTCATATATAATATAAGATTATTGCTGTCACCTTCACAGTTCCATGGGTGTCTCTGTACTACTCATGAATATTTGCCTACAAAACACAGTTTACTAATTGAATTTAGGACTTAAATAATTAATGAGTTCACGAATTAATTATCTATAAATTTCATGTATACCCCAAAAACCTTAAATATTTCTCAGTTTACAACTCTCCTACCTTGAATAATATTTTAAATATTTCCATGTTGTATTAGGGTCTCAAGCACCAGCTACAAACCTTGCCAAAATCATCTTTTCATTTCCACATTAGCAACCAAGTGGCCAAAAAAAGTGTTATTTGTCATCATGAATTATAAACAAATACTAAAATAAGGGGATACATCAATAAATCAATTGTTGAATGAGGGATCATTCAAATTACAGCACAATGCCAAATATCATACTTAAACTCTTGTGCATACACCATTGACAGAAGGCTTTTATTTGTTAGGTCAACTGAAGAAAATTCATTTGCAAACATTACAGTACCTCTTATCTTTTGACAGCAAAAATAGCAGGCTTTCCGAATTATCAATGAAGTGTTAGTTTTGAAAGTCTGCTTTTCAAGGTGCAATTAGATGTTTATTGAGAACATTAACAATGATAAGGATATGAAATTGTGCATGAAGT